GTGGTTCACTGAGAAAGAAAGCATACTAAGAACAAACTTTTATAAATAGATGTGTAAACTGATGTCTTCAAAATGCTTGTAAAGAAAGCCGTTTTGAGAATCAAGCATAAGACCCACTAGGGGACTATGCCAAGCCCTGCAGTGATATTGCTACTACACCAAACAAAACTACCAGAATTGGCATAAATTGTATACTAGCAATCCTCATGCTGAAGCGTGTCAAATCTCCATGCTAGTCAGCATTTTCTTTCTAATGTGCCCACTTCTTCCACATCCTCCTTGATTACAAACTGATTCTGAAGTAGTACCTCCAGTCACTCTACCACACAATCCCAGAACATACCGGGGCACATAAACGTAGGCCTCCACATTACTGAGTTTTGCTACAAGTTTTGCTAACAAGACTCTGCTACAGTAGTGCTTTATTTGTATGCCACCACCTCTTCCTGTTTTCTAGATGATCCTACAACGGCTGAGTAAAATAGTCTTCAACCACGAACCTTTTTGTATATTGTTCTGGTCAAGCAGCTTTCCAGTAGCTGAAATCACAATGTCAAAGAAGAAAATGCACAATTTCTGGAATCCAAAGAGTTCCTTCAGGTATGTCCAAGTCCTCAGACATGGCTAGTGGGAACTGGTACTTTTAAAACAGCAGGCCCTTAATTCATGTTAAACAGTATACCAAAATTTTCCTTATGTCATACAACCTGAGTCCAGGTCCCCTTGAGCGAAGAGCCAGCGCTGTCCAAAGACGTTTCCGTGGTCATGTGGCCGGCATGACTAAACACCAAGGCGCACGGAACGCTGTTACCTTCCCACCGAAGTGGTACCTATTTATCTACTTGCAATTTCTTGCTTTCGAACTGCTAGGTTGGCAGGAGCTGGAACTAGAGACAGGAGCTCACCCTGTCTTGCGGCACCCGGGTCTTGAACCGCTGAACTACTGACCTTCCACAGCCTGCAGTTCAGCTTCTTAACCACTTGAGCCACCGCAGCTCCTTTTTAAAATAGCAGGCCCTTAATTCATGTTAAACAGTATACCAAAATTTTCCTCACCTTTGGAAGGGGTACGTCATACAACCTGAAGAACTACTGTTAGAACCATCTGAGTCCAGGTCCCCTTGAGCATGTAAATCTAGTTACACAGTTCTCTGGCTCCCAGCCAGTGTTCCCTCTAAGGTGAGTTAGTGTGAGCTAGCTCACAGTTTTTTAACCTCTGGCTCACAGATTTTTGTTTTAGCTCAGGAAGGATGGCTCCAGAGCAAACTGATCTATGCAGTAGCCGTAATTAAGTGAAGAACAGAGAGTGCAATTACAAGGCATCTTGAAGATGCAAGGAAAGGATATATTTTTACAAGAGCAAATGTGGCAGTGTTGGTGTGGATCAGAAGAGCCACGACTTGCTCAGTTGACTGTATTCATCTGTTTGATGAGCCCCATTTTTATGGACATTGCAATGAAAACCAGAAACTGCTGCTGTTCTACCATGAATTCATTTGACAGATATGCTGTTCTACCATGAATTCATTTGACGGATAAGATGCGTGAAACCTGTAATATAAAAATTTACCTATATCTTCTGAACCAAACTCTCCATCTGCAATTCTCCATATTTTTTTAAGCCTGACTTAAGCCTAAAGGCCAGTGGTCAAATGCAGGTTATGTTTTAATGGGAGAGTATTATTTAAATCTAAGCTTTAGTAGAAGATGACAGCCCCAAATAAGCCCTTGACTTATTCTGTACAACAAACAGCATGATCCAAATCATCCCAGGCAAAAGAATCCGAAGCAGAAAGAATCATAGCCAATACTGAAATTAAGTGGTACAAGTACAAATGGGCAGTCGCTAAGCTGAATGAGGGCAAGGGGCCAGGGCCAGCACATTGCCTTCAACAGGCAAAAACTAAGCCCCTGGGCAACTCTTTAAAGTAGGCAAGTTGCAGGACAGGCTTGTGCTTAATTCAACAGCACCAAACATATAAAAGGTATTATCAAGGAAGCATCAAAACAGATGACATGGGGCCACATTTCTGCTCCACCAAGCAAACAGAGACCTGAATGCTGGGCAAGGAAGCAACTGGATAGCTATAAGATATTTGATCTTTTAGCCAGCTAGTGAAGGCTTATCAGATTTGCACTAAATACCATGAAGACAGTAGACTCTCTACAATTACTTCTATAGAGGAAAGCAGGAAGTAACCTCACTAGGACCCTCAATGTCAATTGCTATGCACAGAGAGAATGGACAGTGTGTGGTTGTTTAGTTATATCAACATGATGGGCATGAAGTACACAATGCATCCGTTATCAAACAGAGAGTTCAGCACAAGCTTTATAAAGTGAACTGCATGCTTGCTGTCACTTTCTTACATTGCTTTAAAAATTTACCGAGTCTAGTTTTAAATATCACAGTGAAGAAGTAGCCATCACAACTACAATCCTCTGCAGCAGGGAATTTAAGTATCCACCTACACAAATGCTAATAATAATGACATTTAAGATAAGTTAGATAACAATCCCCCTCCAAGATTACAAATGTTTGTGGCAGAAAAAGGGCAATGGCATAATGAGAGAACCCAGCATTCTGAGACACATATTAACAATGTTCATCAAGATATTATCCATGCTTGTTTCTTCAAAGAGCTGTGGTGCCAATAAGAAGACCAACAACTAACACTGAAAGATGGAAGCCCTTTATAATACGTAAGATTTCTACAGCTTTACAAGTTAATTTTATTGTCTTGCTTGTAGATCTTAGCATACCAACAAGAAAGATAAAGCAAGCAAAATTGGCACATAGTCAAATGCTGTCATAAAAAGCCATCAGGAAGCAAATATCAATTGTCTTTAACACAATCAGTGACATGATTCTCCACACAAAGGTGCCTTGGCACCAAAATGACTAGAAGAAGCCTCTCTGGCAAAGATTTCCAGAGAAGGCCTAGAGAGACTCTGGAAGCACGCATGGGACCACGGGGGACCCATTTACATTAGTTTATAGCACTGAACATCAGACTATGTTAAACCACGAGTTAGCTCTTATCCCAAGATTTAGATGACAGTTATACTAAGAGAGGAGCTGCAGTGGCTCAAGTGGTTAAGACGCTGAACTGCAGGCTGTGGAAGGTCGGTAGTTCAGCAGTTAGAGACCTGGGTGCCGCATGATGGAGTGAGCTCCCATGTCTAGTTCCAGCTCCTGCCAACCTAGCAGTTTGAAAGCAAGGAATTGCAAGTAGATAAATAGGTACCACCTCGGTGGGAAGGTAACAGTGTTACGTGCGCCTTGGCGTTTAGTCATGCCGGCCACATGACCACGGAAATGTCTTCGGACAGCGCTGGCTCTTCGGCTTTGAAACGGAGATGAGCACCGCAACCCTAGAGTCAGATTCAACTGGCTTTCGAGCAAGGGAACCTTTACCTTTATCCCCCGAGAACATAATGACTATTTACAGGTGCTGCAAAACAAGAATGTTTTAGTCTTACTACAGGGAAATGCTGGCAATTGTCTGGGTTTTATTCTGCAGCTAGCTTAATATGACTAACAAAAATGAGAGGTTTAGGAGAATTGTCCAAACTTCAGATTATCGTTCTGCTTTGTTATGTTTACATTCTAAAGTATTCCAATCTATTGCTTTTTTATGAAAAATAATCTAAATGAAACCATCAATAATTAAATAAATGTTAAGTATTTTTCTGTTTCCAATAAAGGCATTGCCCTCATTTTAAAGCTGCCCTTTTCCCTTGGATGAACTGTCATCAAAGCATAGGTTCTTTTACAGTATATTTGACCACAATTCAATATATTAGTGTGGTATGTTTAACTAATGAATCTCACAACACTGAAAAGTGCCATAGAAACTGCATACAAACCCAAGGCATATATTGCCGGCAGCTTGCCTCTTTGCATTGTTAAAACCTGAAAGGAGAAACCTAATGCAAATAAGAGAAGGGCAGTTCTAGAGATGATGCTAATCATATCAACAGATAAAACACAGAGAAACTAAAACTACGAATGACCATCCTTGTAGGGTGAAGGAGGAATAAGACAAAAACGGCTTCCCTAAAACACAAGAATCTAGACCAGGGGTGTCAAACATGCGGCCCAGGGGCTGGATCAGACCCCCGGAGGGCTTTTATCAGGCCCACAGTGGAACTGGGTGTCTTCTGCTTCTTCTTCCAGTTCTGCTGCTGCTGCATAATCGTAGGTTTGCAGCTTACAGATACACACCTGAATAGCATACTCAAGATTGCAATAGGACAGACATTTTGGTACAATAATTCAGAGCAAGAGGTGTCAGTTATCAGACACTGTTAAATAAACAAAATATTGCAAGAGTACTAATGTTTTAAGCATGTTATTATTTTAAGTTAAAAAAAAAACCTTTGTGTTTGTGTCCTTTATAAAGTGTATATCTCTGCTACCTGGCATTCCATTTTATGACACACATGGCCCAGCCCAACAAGGTCTCATTTATGTCAGATCCAGCCCTCATAACAAATGAGTTCGACACCCCTGATCTAGACAGATTTCCTACAGAGATGATGAACATATGATCCAAGGGTCCCTGTTCCCAGTACCTAGGCATCAGTCTTCGCGTATTGGAAAGGGTACAAAACGAAGGCCAAAAGCTCCCTTAGAAGCTTTTCTACACGTGGCCCTCACCCTCTAACCCCACCCCCAATTCCTTCAAAGGGAATACCAACGGAAGAGGTTAGGCAGTCCCCCCCCCCACACACACACAACCTTTTCCTTCCCTCTTTTACTGATCCCAGGCCGCCACCACTCAAAGGATTAAGAGCCATGACCCGCGGGGGTCGGAGAGAGACTAGATCTCCACCAAGTGCAAACGGCACTGGCCGTCCCGTGGGGCGGGCGGCGGCGAATACTTTTCTCTCTTGCTTTTAACCGCGATGCCCTCCAACCCCTCGCCAGGCAACCCGGCGGCGTTCCGATCTCCTCCACCACCACCACACACCCCTTCCACGACCCAGCCCCTCACCAGGCGGAGCTGGCTGGTCTCGTCGTAGGACAGGAAGCTGAGGATGTTCTCGATGGCTACGATGGGCAGCCCCACCAGCGTGTTGCTCTGCGGGAGTTGCTCCAGGGGCTGCGTTTCCCCCCGGGGCTGTGGAGGCGGCGGAGGGGACAACCGCGCCGGGTCCATAGCGCCTCCTTCCCCCTCCGACAGGAGCCGCTCAGCCGCCGCCAACGCCGCCATCTTGGGGCCTGTCTCTTCCTCGGCTCCGGGAGGGGGCACTTCCTGTGGCGACGATCCCGCCTCCTTCTCCGGCGGAGACGCTTAAAGAGACAGGCGCCCTCCTTCCCGCGAACGCGCGAGATGAGGGCGGGACGGGGGACGTAAGTTTAGGAAGAGAAGCTCCCGTCTTGACAGGCATGCGACTTCTGTCCTCTCAACCCAGACATGTTTAGGTTGGCTGTGGGTCCTTAGGGCCAAACAAATAGTGTAGATTCACGTAAGTACGTGGATCACTAAACCTGATGGCTGACTCCGCGGCTGAATCTGAGAACTGACCCTGTTGGGAAGGCTTGTAGGAGGTTTTGTGAACGGGAGGAAATTAACATCTACTGCAGCCTATTCGGGCATGCAAACACGAATGACAGGAACGTCTTTTAGGAACAATGGTAGATGCTGGAATGCCCATTGGATATAATGGGAGCCGGGAATGCCAATCGACTCTCATGGGCTCCATTGAAATACATTACAGCATTAAAATTGAAATGAAACGTGGCCCAGATAGACTGCTCTGGAACTGGAATGATGGTCCCTACGAACAGAATCTGTGGTCTGGGACTGCAGTGAAAGCCCCCATAGTCGAATGATGGTCCCTTGAACTGTAAATGTTCTGCAACTGGAATGACAACCCCCAGGGTGGAATGAGGGTCCCTGGGAATAAAATGAGTGGTCTGGGACTGGCATGACAGCCCCTGGGAGTAGCATAAGTGTTCTGGGACTGGAACAAGAACAGTTTCCAGGTTCTTACCAGAAATTACACCATCAATTTCTTTCCATGGCTACCAAAGTATGCCTCCAGGAACAACCTCTGCTACAAGACTCTTTGTCATTATCTGATAAAGATACCAGCTGATTATCAATCTACCCAAAAGAGTCATGCCAGGGCAACTTCACTTCATAAGGCTACATGGACTTTTGTTTCAGCCGCAGACAATGGTATCATGCAGCTTGCCTATCATCAGTCACCATCAAACTGCCAATGTATTTCATTTGGAAACAGTGTGTGGTTTAGAGATGATATTAAGGTAGTTTTGATCAACAGTTAATGCTGTATGGGTAAATATGAATACTTTCTGTAATTGCCATAGTGAACGGCGGGGTAAGAGTTAAGAGTTTGTGTCGAGAGGTAGGGGTGCCAAAGGGAAGGTAAGAAACAGAGAGTTGTTTACCTGTGCTGGAGATGCTAGTGAGCCGGGGCAGTCAGAGTACTTGTCAAGATGGGCAAATGGCCTGACATGCTATAAAGGGATTTAGATATTAAAATCTTCATCTATAAAATAAGATATCACATCTAGAGTACGAGATGGGATTTCTCAGAGAGAGACTGTGGGGTGGGGAGGACTGGGCGTCAGTGGTCAACAGAGTGGGCAAAAGTGCCCAGGGAGCTCAGGTAGGGTGTGACACATAAAGGAAACACAGAGGGAAGGAAGGAAGCAGTCCTGGACCCAGTGGGGGTCTAAGGAAGAAAAGGAAGGGGGAGGAGGGCAAGATTTATACTTGCCAACAGAGCAGAATGAGGTGGCTGACACCAACGTCATGACTGGAAGGAAACTTAACAGGTGACAAGCAGGATAACTATTGAGTTAGAGCTGATTCAGGATAACTACAGCCACCAGAAATATTAATTAAAATGTAAGGTATTTCAAGGAGCTGCGGTGGCTCAAGTGGTTAAGATGCTGAACTGCAGGCTGTGGAAGGTCAGTAGTTCAGCAGTTCGAGACCCGGGTGCCGCATGCTGGAGTGAGCTCCCATCTCTAGTTCCAGCTCCTGCCAATCTAGCAGTTCGAAAGCAAGAAATTGCAAGTAGATAAATAGGTGCCACTTCAGTGGGAAGGTAACAGCATTCCGTGCGCCTTGGTGTTTAGTCATGCCGGCCACATGACCACGGAAACATCTTCGGACAGCGCTGGCTCTTCGGCTTTGAAACGGAGATGAGCACCGCAACCCTAGAGTCGGATTTGACTGGCTTTCGAGCAAGGGAACCTTTACCTTTAAGGTATTTCATTCTACTTTAAGGTTTGAGATTGCTGTGACAGAGCACTGATTTTAATCACAAGGACTATCACTCCAGTCTCAGAACACTGGTGGGTTTTTAAGGATTGGCTCCTAAGTCCCACACATGGTTATGTCACCCATTTAAAATTTGACTGTTGAATACTTAAAGACAGGCAATTGTCTTATATACACTGAGATATACTTATCTCCAATAGTGTGTGAGGGCCTCAGGTTATTACCATACTAGATCTTTTTCTCTCAGTACCCCTTCTATGCAAGCTATCTGTATGAGTGTGCATGGACAACACATTACATCCACATGGTCGGCATGGGCATGGAGACTGAACACAGGCAGTACAGCTTATATAAATATGGATTATTGTTGGAAGGCAGATTACTTGTGCAATGGTGTACTGCAAATGAGCCTTGCCTAATAATGTCAGGTATTATAACTCCCTCTCAAAGCAAACTTGATGGGCCATTACCTATCAGTAGGGCAGCAAAACAGCTCCATCCGTGCAGCACAGAGATAGGAGGTAAACATGCCCTTCTTGCACTGTACCACTCAAGTTGAGAACTAAACAAGCAGTTTTCTGTCCACTTACTCTTAAATTTCAGTGGTCAGGCTATAGTCCAGCTATGCTATAGGACTAAATGTTCAGGACTGAATAAGCAGAAAGCTATTCATTTAGCCTGGAGTTCAGAAGTCTTATTTATTTACTTTATTTATAGTCTGCTTTTCTCACAGGGACCACAAGGTGGGAGCCACAATAGAAGAAGCACGTGTATGTCTAGTTGTTGATTTTGCCCATTTCCAGGTTGGAACCTGCAGAAACTCCTGATGACATGAACAAAGTTGTCATGGTGGAATATATGGAGAGCGGCAGTCCCACAAATAAGAGGGGCCAAGGTCACGAGGGGCTTTATATGTGATAGCCAGTACCTTAAACTGAGCTTGGTAACAAATGGACCAGCCAATGGAGCTTCTGCAGAATGGGAGTAATGTGCATGTTCCATCTAGCTCCCACTAATCATCAAGCTGTGGCATTCTTGACCGGTTGGAGTTTCTGAGTTGATTTTGAGCAGACCAATGTACAGTCCATTACAGTAGACCAGTCTCAATGTTACTGTGGCATGGATTCAGGGGTCCTTATCAAAGTACAGGATCATCTTACAGGCTAGGCTGAGTTGGAAGAAAGCCTTTTTTGCAGCTGTTTCTCCAGCAATAATGCTGGGTCTAACTCCAAGACTCTTAACTGAGTCAGCAAGGGTCAGCTGAATTCCATCAAAAGTGGGGAGAACAATGTCCTTCAAGACCTCCACTTTCCTACCAAGCATTACCTCTGTTTTTTTCAGGGTTTAGTTTCAATTTGTTCGCTTTTAGTCAGTTAACCACAGCAGGCAGGTAGTTGTTTAGGACCTCCACTGCATCGGCAGGAGATTTGGATAAGGATATATAGAGGTGGGTATCGTGAGTATATTGATGACGACCAACCCCCAAATTGCAAAAGTGCTTGACACAGAGATTTAAAAGCACGGGGGGATAGAGTTGCACCCTTTGGAGCCCCCTTGGAACCCCACACTGTTGACAAGTGATTTCCAATAGCAATCCTTTGAGTTTGATCTGTGAGGAATGATTCAGACCAGTTCAAGACACATTCCCTGATACCTATTTCTGCCCCCAAGTATCTCAACAAGATGGCATGATGTACTGTATCAAAGGCTGCAGATAAATCCAATAAGAGCAACAGAGAGGCATGGCATTTGTCTACACTCAGGTGGAGGTCCTCAACTAAAGCTAGCAGAGCTGTCTCTTTCCCATAGCCTGGCCTGAAGCCGGACTAAAAAGGGGTCTAGAGCACATGAGTTATCCAAGAAGACTTGGAGTTGGTTCACTACTGCTCTTTCCATCACTTTGCCCAGAAAAGATAAATTAGAGACTGGGTGACAACTGGCCACATCATTTTTCTATAGCGATTTTTTTTTTTTAAGTAACAGACCAATTGCTGAGGGAAGGTGCCCTGAGTTAGTGTCTGGTTTATAATAGATGCTGAGAGTTGGGGGTGGTGGTGGTTGGTTGGTATTTTTACATTTGTGTGTTTGTGTGTGTGCCCGTGCCCGTGCCTGGACGTCCTGGTGACCTCTGGCAACTCCCACTGGCGCATGGAGGATGTTCAGAGAAGTGGCTTGATAGCCTGCCTCCTGGCCCTGGTATTCTTTGGAGGTCTCCCATGCAAATACTTGCCAGGGTCAGCCCTGCTTAGCTTCCTGGATCTGATGAGACTGGGCTTGCCTGGGCTATCCAGGTCAGGGCAGTGCTGAGAGTTTGCTGATGTGGTCCTTACATGTGTTTAGCAGCCAGGATGACCAAGGATCTAGGGAACAAGAATGAGCCTCTAAAGATCCCAGGATCTTATCTACAACATCCATTATGGAAACTGGGTCAAAATAATCCATAAATAGCCCAGGTATTGCACCTTTCTTCTGGTATACCTATGTTATAATTGACATCCTTATCAGAGCATATTCTCAATATTTTGTCAGCAAAAAAACTCAGCAAAAGTATTACAGCTAATTGTTTGTTCCTGAAATATTAGAGGCTCATATATTGCATCTTTCTTCTGGTGTACCTATGTTATAATTGACATCCATATCAGAGCATATTCTCAATATTTTGTCAGCAAAAAAACTCAGCAAAAGTATTACAGCTAATTGTTTGTTCCTGAAATATTAGAGGCTCAGATTTAGGCATCAGTAAATGCTGAGCTACCTTGAACATGAACTACCTGATGCTATGGTAGTAGAGAAGTAACCTTTTTTTGCTGCTGTCACAGCTGCTTCATAGGATTTACAGTGAGCTGTGTAGCATGATCTGTCTGATTCAGTACAAATTCTCCTCCAGACATCTCCCAACCAGATCACCCAGTTCCAAGGTAAAATGGGGGCTGGATTTTATCCCAAGGGTGGGAGAGGTCAGTGAGGGGCAACCTTGTCCAGAGCTTCAAGTTGCTTT